AGACGAAAGTCAAGACAGCCTAGCTGGTCTCTGAGGTTGCATGCCTAAAATTCCTTCCCCTCTCCTGTCAGTCTACCATCTCTTAGCTCCAATTCCAGCTTCTCCAGGAAGTCTTTCCAACTATCCCCAGGCTACAGTTATCTGTCCCTGTCTCTCTCCCTCCCGTATCTCTCTTTATTCAGAATGTACCATTTTGGAATGTAACTGGAATTCTTTCAATGAACACGTACTGAGTCACTACTAGGAGTGATGAATTGTTCCTCTCCTCAAGGGCCTTGAGTTATATAATACCCTGTAGACCATAGGTATTAAACTCATGACCCACAGCCTGCATGTGGCTTCAAAATTCCAGAATACTGGGGGCAGCTAGGCGGCTCAGTGGAGTCAGGAGGACCTAATTTCAAATCTAGCCTCAAACCAGACACTTGACATTTACTAGCTGCGTGTCCCTGGGCAAGTCACTTAACCCCAATTGCCTCGCCAAAAACAAAAACAAACAAAAAAACCCCTCTGGAATACAGCCAAAGCAGATTAAAATGTAACTGGGAAAAATGTTTGATGAAATAAATAAAAAATACAATACACACAGAGAATGTTCATTTGTGGTTTTCTAAGTCACCATGCACTGGAGGGATCCTTTCTACTTGAGTTTGACACCAAGGTTGTAGAATATAAGGCACTTTAAGAAATGCTTGTTGAATGAATGAATGGCCATCGTGTGTGGGTATGTGGGAGGTGTCTTATGACTGGCATAAAGTAAGTCCTTCAGGAGCTTAGAGGAAGGTGTTCAATGTCTTGGCAGGGGGTTGGGGGAGGGCAGAGAAAGCTTCGTAGAGAGGGAAGCATCTGAGCTCAGTTTTGAAAGAAATAAAACTGATAAAATCTTAGCACTAAGGGACCTCCGAGATAATCTATGTGAGCTTCAAAGAGGCAGAGACGGGCAGAAGGTATTCCAGGCTCAGTGTAAAAGGGAAGGGAGCTGTTCCGGAAGAGTGACATTGCCACACAGAGATGGCTGTTATGCCAGCAGAGAAGAGCATAGGGGTGGGGCCTTCGTTGCCTCTAGCTCCCTGGGCAGGCCGATAGTTTAGACAGGAAGCAAGACATGGCTCCCATCCAAGGCCCCTCTAAAGTGGCTTTGGGTTCAAATTTCTATTGAGTTTTAGACAGAGAGTTGAGATGGCATTAATAGGAGACTGCCCCACCACCGCTAAGGCAGTGGGAGCGTGGAGCCCCAAAATCAGGGTATCCTCTGAACTACTTAATAAGGAATGAGAAATGAGGGACAGGGACCCATGGGACTTAAACTAGGTATGCCATAGCAAGCAAGAGGCTGGAGAGGGGGGCAATGACTGGTCATTTAAGGCCTAGCACACATGTAATCTGTGTGGCTGGGCCTGGCACCACACCAACCAGTCCAGTTTTCACCGGCTCACACCAGATAAAGGGAAGAACATGGGTTGGTCTGGTCTTAACTGGAAAGCACGCAAAAAAATATGTGCAGAGGTGAGAAGCATAAGGCATAGGAAGCCAAGAAGTCCAGTTTGATTAAGCAGGTTTGTGTCTAGGAGTCATGGGAGATCAGGTTGGAAAAGTTAGTTGGAGCCAGGCTATGAAGGGACCTGAATGCCAAGCTAAGAAGTCTGAGATTTATTCAACACAAAGTCAGGAGTCATTGTACGATTTGAGGTGGGATAGTTACATGATTGCAGCTATGCATTAGGAAGAGTAACTTGGGAGTGGGGAGTGGGATAGTACTGGAGGTGGGGAGAACATTGCATTGTTGTAAGTCTGAGCGGGGCCCCAAACTAGGGCAGTAGCAGTGTGAGTGAAGAAGAGATGGGAGAGAATGTCATAGCATTGCCAAGGATTTGACAACTGATTAACCATGAGAAGTGAGGGAGAAGGAATAGAGACTGGGGGGGAGGGGGTGCTTGTAGCTACATTAAAAAGATGTAGTTGATCTATGGTGTCCTATTGCCAAGCTCGAGAAGGCAGAGACCATGTCTTACCTCCTTTTTTTTTGTATCCTTTCCAGCAGCCCATAGTAGGTATGAAATAAAGGATCGCTGCTCATAGAACACAAACACAATGCTTTGCCCTGGGAAAATAAAGCAAGTCAGCAGAGACTTTCCTTCCAGAGGCTCTCACCAACCAAGAGGGTATCTCCATGCTTTTGATATGTTATTAGCAAAGTAACAAAGCTGGGGAAGTGTGAATGTGAGCTGGCAGGGCTGGGAGGAAGGTGGGTACCCACTCCAAACAATACCAATGCTTCCCAGTGTTGAAGGAGTGCTTGGCTATGATAGGTATGGATACATAGGTAGACTTCCAAAGGGCCAGCCTCAGTCTGTTATCTACCTAACCTTGGCATAGACCCTCACCCAGTTGGGCCCAACCTACTCCACACTTAAGCCAGATTGGTCTCCTTACTCCTCTCCCTCCCGCCCTCTCCCCCTGCCACATTCCTGCCTCCGCTTCGCCCATTCCTGCCTTCTTTGGACATGCCTACTCCCTATGACCCAACCTGGAATGCCTTCTCCCTATGCCCATCTTGGAGGCTGTGTGGTGGAGTGGGAAGAACACTGGAATCAGAGTCAGAAGACCAGGGTTCAAATCCTGGCTCTGCCACTTCCTGCTTGTGGGACCTTGAGTAAGTCCCTTCCCCTCCCTGGGTCTGTTTCCCTATTTGTAAAATGAGGGGATTGGATCAGATGGCTTCTGGAGTCCCTTTTCAGCTTGAAAATCTAGGATCCTTATCTATTCTTCAAGGCCAAGTTCAAATCCCTCCATGATACTTTCCTTGACCAATTCAACCTATACCAATTTCTTGTAGTATGGTACTTACCTACACTAGTCTGATGTACATAAGGGGATTTGTCTTATACTTCTTTGAAACTTCCACAGCAGCAGAGGTAAGGAACCTGGGGCCTTGAGGCCACATGTGGCCCTCTAGGTCTTCAAGTGCGGCCCTTTGACTGAATCCCAATTTCACAGAATGAATCCCCTCAATAAAAGGATTTGTTCTGTAAAACTTGGACTCGGTCAAAAGGCCACACTCAAGGACCTAGAGGGCCACATGCGGCCTCGAGGACCCAGGATCCCCACCCCTCTACGGCCTAGTATAATGCTTTGCACACAGTAGGCACCCAATTCAGATTTATCAAATGATTAAACCAAGACCAACTGGTCTTGGGCCTTGGTGTTTGGAAAGGAAAAAGACTAGCAGAGGTTCTTGGGACACAGAAACAGCTTGTGGCTATGACTCCATTTCAAGGACAAGAAAAGATGGGTAGATGCAAGACTGGAGGATAGTAGGGACCAGTTTGGATGGTCAAACCCAAAGAGTAGCCATGAATGGTTTGATCAGCTTCCAATGTCTTCAATGGAGTGCCCCAGGGATTTGGCCTATTAAACACTCTGATCAACGACTTGGATAATAAAGGCTTAGTTGGAATCCTTATGTATTAAGTATGCAGATGATACAAATGAGAGGGAGAGCTAAGAGTCAGAATCCAGAGACATCTAAACAAATGTAATGAGGGATGAATGTAAAGTCTTATACTTGTGTTCAAAGACTCAACCACACAAGGCCGTGGTGGGGGAGGCCTGGTTAGACAGCTGTTGGTCTGTGTCAATGGTGGGATGTGGTAGCCCACAAAAGGGCCTACTTAATACAATCTTAGGTAGCATGAGAGGCATAACTGATAACCTGAATAGCTAACTTTTATACGGCACTTCCTATGTGCCAGGCACTGTGCTAAGTGCTTGACAATTATTACCTCATTTGATCCTCACAGCAATCCTAGGAGGAAGGTGCTATTATTATCATTTTACAGATAAGAAAACTGAGGCAAACAGAGGTTAAGTGACATGCCCAGGGTTACACAGCTAGTAAGTGTCTGAGGCTGGATTTGAACTCAGGTCTTCCTGACTCCAGGCTCAGCACTCTATCCACTGCACCACCTAGGGCCCAGGAACAAAAGTCCCACTGTACTGGTTAGACTTCATTAGAAGTACTGGGTTCGGTTCTGGGTATGTTTTAGGGTGGGCACTGATAAGCTGGAAAGTGTCCAGAGAAGGGCAGCTAGGATGAGGAAGGGCCTTGAGCCCACATCGCATAAGGATCAGGTGAATGAAATGGGCATAGCCTGAAGAAAAGAAGGCTCAGGGATGACAGGATAACTGCCTTGAAGTACTTGAAGATCAGGGCAGCTAGGTGGCGCAGTGGATAGAGCACTGGTCCTGGAGTCAGGAGGACCTGAGTTCAAGTCTAGTCGTGTGACCCTGGGCAAGTCACTTAACCTCACTGTCTAGCCCCCCCCCCAAAAAAGTACCTGAAGATCGAGGACCTGAAGGATTGATGAGACTTGTTACATTTTTGCCCCAGAAAGAAGAATTAAGAGTAATGGGAAGAAGTTTCAGAGAGGTAAACTGAGGGTGGCTGTTAGGAAAAACTTCCTCACACTCAGAGCTGATCCAAAGTGGAATGAACTGCTTTAGAAGAGACCCCAAAAGATACCTAGTCTAACCTCACCACTTTTCAGATTGAAGAAGGAGGCCCAAGGAGATAAAGTGATTTACCCAAGATCACCCATAAGCTCCTCTATCGATAGCCAGAAAGCCCTTCAGAGGCCATTGAGTCCACCACCTCATTTTACAGGAGAGAAAACAGGCACAGGGAAGAGTGACTCCCTCAGGGTCACGCCGGCAGCATGTCCAGAGCAGGAACTGAGCCCAGGCCCTCCGACTATATGGTCAACACCATTTCCACTGTCCTAAGCTGCCTCCTGTAATGGGATCCCCCTTGTTGGACATCCCCCAGGAGACGATGGATGACCGCTTGCCACGTATGCGGCAGGGGGCACCCTTTTGGGACGTGGGTTGGATTAGATGGCGGCTAAGCCCCTTCCAACTCTGAAACTCATTGGCTTTTGAGGGTATTGAGTGGCCTCTCACCCCACCCCCCTCTCCATCCCAAAAGGCAGGGAGAGAAGCAGCAAGATCACCAGCCGTCATTTATTACTAATTCTGTACACGTAAGGCAAGAAGGCGGCCACCGCAGGGAAGGCGAGCGACGGCGTGGGAGCCGTCGCCGATCACTCCAGGATGTGATTAGTCTCTAACACAGTTTGCAGGATCTCATCCACCTGATCAGACTCGAAGTTGACCTCTTCCAGCTCCAGGTGAGGAAGAATGGAGGCCAGCAGGCGGCTGACATTCACCCGGAGGCTTTTCAGCTTCTCCAGGGTGCTGAGATGGAGGAAGAGAAAGGACAATGGTGGGGGGCTCAGCCACGAAAGCGGCAAAGCAAAACAGCTGGGCAAGAGGGGGCTCTCTCCCCTCCCTCAGAGTTCCTAACCTACTGGGCCTCCATCAGGCAGAGCCAGGAAGGAACAGAACACCTGCCCCCCAGCCCCACCCCCAAAGCTTCCCAGCAGATACTGAAACTTCTGGGAGACAAAAGTCCAGGCTCTCCCTCCACACCTGCCCTGTTTTAAAAAACTCTAAGGGATTTCTTCATGGATCCTTTTTATGCTTGAATGAGACCATAATCAACTAAGTCATCTGAGATATCCAAACCTGAGTTATTGGCAGCATGGAGCTGGCCCAAGAGAAGGGTCAGGCGATTCCAGTTAATGGCCTGGGAGCTGGTTCCAGTGGGTTCACCCCTACCCAGACACACAACACTGAGTTAGCGTGACTCTGTGTCCCCAATCTCTCAAAAGGGGCTACCTACCGCCTCCTCCATCTACCTCTGGAGCAGCCCTCCCCAAGCAAACCTTTTTGTGATTCACAGACTGCTGAGAGGCTACTTCTCCCACTGGGACTCAGGCTTCCCTAGTGGGGCTGGAGATGATGGAGGGGAGACAAACTGAGGATAGAAGAACGGAAAGGAGTCTCTCTTCTCTTCCTCTCTCAATCCCAGATCTAGAAATTCAACTTGCTATGCAATTATAATGACCAAAGAAATATATGAGACTGTACGTCACCTCCTTCTCTGCAGAGGTGGGAGAACTACGGGTGTGAGACACTGCATACGTTGTTGGACTTGACTGAACGTGAGAACTTGAGCTTCTTGAGCTGAGGACTGTTTTGTTTTGCTTACTCTCTCCCCAGCACTTAGCACAGGGCCTGGCACGTTAGAGGGGCCTGATAAGTGTTTGTGGATTGATCGAACTAGTTCTGTTTTTCCTCTTTGTTATAAGAGGAGGCGTATACTGGGAAGTGTAGGCATAGCTACAGGGGCCAGACCGACAGTTCCATCGGTGTGGGAGTTCCCAGATGGGGAAACTTCCTTTCCCAACTGGAGGTTGGCCCCTTCTACACAATTTCAGAATCTTGGGGTGTGGCCTTCAAACCCTGAGAGCCTTGAATGACCCGGCTAGTGTGTGGGAGGCTGGACTTGTCCCCAGGTCTTCCTGGTCAGCTCCCTAGCCACCACACCACCCTACCTTCCCCAAACAAAAGCTGGAGGGAATTCAAGCACGGGAGCTGGAGACTGTAGGGCAAGGGCCTGGCGCACTCCCCACCAAAGACCAACAAACCCTGGTAACAACCTCCTATCTTCTCCCTCCAGGCTCTGACAGGAGCCCTGAGCCTGGCGCAGAACCTCCACGCGCATCTCTGTGGCCTTGAGCCGCTCCTTGAGCTCTGTCTTCTCCTCCAGGGTTCTCTCCAGCTCGGACTTGAGCACCTGCAGCTCGGCCTGGCGGTAGCCCATGTGCTTCTTGCTCCAGTACAAACTCTCGCTCTCTCGGGCCCGGAGGGTCATCAGTTCATGTTGGGTTCTCTCAAACTCGGTCTGCCAATGGCTCTTCTCCTCTTCTAGCTCTTGAACCTGTGGTCCAAAGGACAGGGACACAAGCACGCATGGAGACACCACTATCGCTCTACACCTCGTTCCATCGCTAGACCCTACCCTGGCCTATTGTGTACAGACCCTTCCTGAGATTCACTCCATTTAGGAATTACTATCAAGTATCTCACTGCCAGCTTGGGCATGAGCTCGGGATTCAGAGGAGCTGGGTTCAAATTCTAGACCTGCCAACTCACTTGGGCAAGTCACAGCCTCCCTGGGCCTGCCTCAATGCCCTCATTGGTAAAAAGGAGAGGCTTGGCCTCAATGACATCTACGGTCCCTCCCGGTTCTAGACCTGGGATCCTAGGATCCTGGGATGTTCCTTTATATGGAACATCCATACCAACACCTTCCCCTCGGTCACCACTTTTGATCCCCAGTACCAAAGTGCCCCTGACCTTCTGCTGCAGCAGATCCCTTTCTGACAAGATGCTTTCCAGTCGTCTCTCAGTCTTCTGGTCCTTGGCCTTGGGCTGACTCAGAGCTCCATTATCCCCAGCTTCCCCCTTCTCACTGCTGGGCATGGCACGGAGCTGGCTCCGGTCTTCTGCCCCCCGTCTATGCTCAGCTCTCTCCTCTCGAGCGAATGGAATCAGCTGGATGGGAGCTCCGCCGTCCATGACGGCTTCGGTGATCCCAACCACGGCCACGAAGGGGCCTTTGGCTGCTTCCTGTGCTGGTGCTCTGCTCTGCTCCGCCACCAGAGAGCTTCGGCTTGAGGGCGGCCAACCCTTGGCCATGTCGGCCACCAAGGATGACCGCTGACTTCCGAGCTCCTCAGGGCGCTTCCCAGGCAGCCCGTCCTCTCGGATGCTCACCAGGGATCCTTGGCCTGGGCCCTGCTCCCCAGCAGGTGCCCCCCAAACCTCACTGCTACTCTGGCCTGCCTCTGGGAGAAGGCTTCTCTCAAGGTCAGATTCACCTCTGCCACTCTCCATTTCTTGGCGAAGGGCAGCCAACTCTGCCCTCTTGTAGGAGTCAGAGGCCGTCGCTGGCTTCTGGGACCGTCTCCGCTTTACCAGCGGCTCCTCATCTAGGAACGTTTTGTGCTTGCTGCAAGAACGAAAAGCAAGCGATTAGTGCGGACCCCGCCCAAGTCCAGGCTGTGGACGAGCCCACCTTTCGCTGCCTCCCTACATTCAAATCACAGCTTGGGAGAGCTTCTGGACCCAACTCTACCCTCTAAATCCAACCCCCCCCAACCCCCTTTGCTCAGCAGCAGCTGGCCCAGGCTGCAATTGGGGAAGGGGTGGAGAGGGAGAGGGAGCCTGCCTGAGGCAGGAGCAGCCTGACCTTTACAGGAATTTTGGACACAGGCAGTGAAATCAGCCCAGCTTTGAAGTCTCCCAAATGCAAAGAGAGGGAGAAAAAAACAAAAAATAAACACATAAAACAACCCCCTAATGTGATGATGGAAAAAAAATAAGGTCACACAAAGGCTTGGCGGGGTATGTGGAGGCGAGCAGAGCCAGCCTGTTCATTGTAAAGTGTCACAAAACCAGCCAGTTTCAGACTTAGGCACATGTTGTTATACTGCAATGGAACACCATCCGGTCCCTTTGCCAGCCGCCTGGATTGCGGCTATGGCCCATTATTCACTTGTAAAAGTTAATTAAAACACAGGGTCCTCGCCAGAAACAAAGAAGCCAAATCAGCCAGACCTAAGCTGATTTGAGCCCCTGGCCAACTACTGCCCGGTTGAGACCGAGGCCACGCTCCTTGGGGCCTTCAGCAGGACTCAGGGGATCGAGCTGCGACCTTGACCCTTTGGTTGCCGCACACGCCAAAGGCAAGATCTCTGGCCCCAGATGGCTCGGTGGGAGAGTCCGAGGCAGGCAACAAGAATCGTGACCAGTCTGCCTTACCTTCAGCTAGTGCCCCCCCTCCCCAATTCAAACTGAAAATGTGACTTTCAACTTTCTAACAAAAGAAAATCAATCAGCAAGCATTCATTAATAAGCACTTCCTACACAAACATGCCAGGCACCGTGCTAGATTGAGAATGCAAAGACAACGGATGGAGCGATTTCTACTCTCAAAGAGCTTCCTCATCGTGAAATCACCATACTGTTCCTCACCCCCCACCCCCATCACGGGGCTAACGTCCACATCAGTGCCACGTCTGGGTACAGCCTAAGGTGACACCCTTGCAAAGCCTTAGCTTCTCAGAGATTCTCCAATGACCTTCAAGTTCACTGGCCAGTTTTCTAGGTCTGACATGGGGGATTGGTCCACTTCACTGTGGTATTCAAGATGGAAGCTCCCTGAGGACAGAGATTAGTTGATTTTTATCCAGGGTCGAACACAGTGCCTCATGCATGGTAGAAAATCATATAAAACGTTTGTAAGTAAGCTTCTTGGGGACAGGGACTGTTCCTTTTTGTCTTTACATCCCAAAGTACTTAGCACAGTGCCTAGAACAGAGTAGGTATTTAAGAAATGTTTGTTGGGTGACTGATATGCCTACTCTTAGAGAATGTAGTCTCCCCAGTAGAATGTAAGCTCTCTGAGGGCAGGGACTATTTGACTTTTGACTTTGTCATCTCCAGGGTCTAGGATGGTGACTGGCACACAGTAGGCATTTCACTAATGCTACTCAACTGATTGATGATAGCAGACCAACTCACTGATCTGCAAACATCTGGGAGGGCACATGGTCCTAGGTAGTAATTATGTCTATGAAGAAACAAAAATGCCAAATTAGAATTTCAGAAAAGCCTTGGATTCGGCCCCACATAGTCCTCGTGAAAAAGGTAGGAATGAATCGATATGAATCACGCTGTCCCAAAACTGGCAGGAAGGCCACATCCAAAATATAGCCATCAATAGTGTGGGGTCAGCCTGAAAGGAAGGGTAAACTGAGGCACATCCTACAAAGTTTTGTTCTGAGGCTAGCACTAATAATAATGATGATGATGATAACAACTAGCATTTATACAGTGCTTTAAGATTTGCAAAGCACCTTACAAATATCTCATTTGACCCTCAAAACAACTCTAGGAGGCAGTTACTATTATTATTCCCATTTTGCAGATGAGGAAATTGAGGTTGAGAGAGCTTAAGTGACTTTCTTAGGGTCACATAGCTAGGAAGTGTCTGAGGCAGGGTTCAAACTAAGCTCTTCCTGACTCCACTACCTGTGTTCTCTCCTCCCCACCATGTAGATGCCACTAGTGAATGTTTGTGGCTGGTCAACAAAGTTGAGTGGCACCAAGTAAGTCTTTCAGGAGTTTAAAGGCAGGTGAAGAGGACAGAGAAAACTTCATGGAGAGTGTAGCATTTGAACTTAGTTTTCAAAGAAATAAAACCAATGAAATCTTAGCACTAAGGGACCTCAGAGTTAATCTACATGAGCTTCAAAGAAGTAGAGATGGGCTTTGGTGATGGGGATCTCCATAGGAAGACACTGGGTATAATGGTAAAAGATGGTAGCTAAGGTACCCAGATGAGTCTGAAACTAGAACGGCAGCTCACAGGGAAAGCAGGTTCAAAGTCAAGGCATACTGGGTATTCCAAAATTCTCAGTGCCATTTTAAGGTTGCATAGGACACAAAGGAAGGTATTGGCAGAGTGCAAGAGACTGAAGGAGTCAAACTGTCACATGTTAAGAGGGTTATAGACACACTGCAAAGGGTGCAAGATGGGTTATGTGGTCCAAAGAAAAAAACGGTGTCCAAGAATCATAAAAGCCAAAAGATGGTCTAATCCTAATGATAGTCTAGGCTAATGGGAAGAAGTGTTTGGCCTGGAAGTCTGAAGAATGATGGGTTCCAATAACCACCTCAGATAAGCCTTGCAGCTGTGTGAACCTGGGCAAAGCAATTAACTTCTCTGTTCAGAATCAGTGTCGACTTGCATTCCTGGAGGGGGCTTCCATACTGGGGGTTCCTATACCAATGAAATCAGAGGTCTGGGCCCAGAACAAATACTCAACCCCCAGGACTGTAAGATTCAAATCGGACTGTAATTGCATCTAATACTATCTTAGGGGCTTTGGGGAGTGCTTTGGTGAGGAAGGATGTCAGGTTCGGCGGGGGGGACTTTTTTTTTTAGTTTTATCTTGGTATTCTCAAGTGCCTAGCATGGTATCTTGCATACAGCAGGGGTTCAATAAGTATTTGGTTTTGGTTTGGGAGCTTTTTTTGCCTTGCATGACTTTCAGAAGATATAAATAAGCTCCATCTGCTGGTCACTGCTTAAATCTCCATTTTGAATGTGAGCCTACATTTGTTTTACAGCATTTATAGAAACATCTCTCTCAAACACTAAGTGGCTGATCTTCCCTTCCATTCTAGAACCAGATGTTCTCTTGTTTTGCACATGTGTGTGTGTGTGTGTGTGTGTGTGAACAAGTGTGTACACACACTTGCTCACATACCAGTCAGCAAAGTACTTATATAGATTTGTTGAATGAAATAATAAACAAATTCTTCTCAATTGGTAAGGTATGATTTCACTTTAAAGCAAACAGGAATAGGGGACTGGCTAATCACATGGTGGTCCATGGGTGTAACGGAATGTTTCTGTGCTGTAAGAAATCACGCATGTGTGGGGCAGCTAGGTGGCACAGTGGATAGAGCACCGGCCCTGGAGTCAAGAGGACTTGAGTTCAAATGTGACCTCAGACCAAACACTTGACACTTACTAGCTGTGTGACCCTGGGTAAGTCACTTAACCCCAATTGCCTTGCCAAAAAAAAAAGAAAGAAATCATGCGTGTGGTGAATATACTGAAACCTGGTGAGATATACTTAAAGAGTGAGGTAAGTAGAGGAAAAGTAAGATCCACAATGATGTCAGTGGAAGAACAACCACATACCCTGAATCAGAAGTAAATGTACCCAAATTACAAGGCTCTGCTAAGAGTTGGCGGCAGGGATGGAGAGGCCCTTGGGGAGCTGGGAGCTCCATAGGTACTATACGCTACACATGTTCTCAAGTATTTTCAATGTATCCATTAGTTGTCCTGACTTTTTGTTTCCTCCAAAAATACTATTTGTTATAGGGGATAGCTTTCAGGGAGGGTGAAAGGAAGAGATTCTTGGGATAACTATGGTGGTATAAGAGACAGAAAAATTCAATAGCAATTTGTTTGGTTTTTTTTAAGAGAGTTGTGGACACGAAAAAGAAATTCCTTGCTCTACTACCCACAGTGACGTGTCCTGCACACTCTGGTCAAACCTGAAGAGCGTACTTTGCCATTCGAACTCAAAGCTTCAATTATAATCTTGGGCAGTCAGGTGGTGCAATGGATAGGAAACAGGAGTTGGAGTCAACCTTAGATGCTTACCAGCTGTATGACCCTGGACAAGTCACTTAAGCTTTTGCAGTCTCAGTTTCCTCATCTGTAATGTGGAGATAATGATAGCACCTATCTTGAAGAGAGTTGTTGGGAGGATCAAATGAGATCATGTTTAATAAGGTGTTTTGTAAGCAAAGTACTGTACAAATGTTAATCTTCAAAAAAACTGAGCAAATTTTTTCATGCTGAAAGAAAATTAGTTGTCTTCCAGTTAAAATGTAGCCACAGCATAAACTATCTAGTCCTCCTGAAGTGGTAAACAAAATGTTTCTTTGTTGCTGGGCAATCTGGGCCTCCTGGGGATGCTGGCTTTATTCACTGGCTGCCCCCCTCCCCCAATTCGGCTGGTTTCTGTCATTGACAGGCTGGACTCACCATTTTGGAGTTTGATTGGTCTAGTTTAGAGGTGTCAAACTCCTGGCCTACAGGCCACACACAGCCCACAAAATTCCTTGACTACAGGAACTGGGTTCAAATGTCATCAGGAAATGTTGAACCAAATAAATACAAATACAATACAACATCAATGAATGGTCACTTGTGGTTTTCTAAGTTGATCTGTGAAGTAGAGAGATTGTTTCTATCCGTGTTTGACCCTATTGGTCTAGTTCAAGCTCCTTATTTTACAGAAGTGAGGCCTAGTCTTACCAAAAGGTTTTCATCATCTGACAGAGTCATTGGGTGATGCCTGAGCCCCGCCCCCAGTGCTCCCATTTTACAAGGAGTCCCTGAACTCAAACAAATCAACATGGAGGGCCCACAATCCTCCAAATTACTGAGGTAGTTTGAACCATCTAGACCAGTAACCCAAGGGTACAATATCATTTGCCAAGCCCACACAATATGAATGGAATGAATTATTATCATCAATCGCCACCTACCTCTTTTTCTGAAGAGAACAATTATTGTTCTCAACAGGCTATAAGGCATAAATGAACAGGCTGTGCAAGGAACAAAGTACTTTCCTCCACTCCTACACGCCAAGGCCAAACTGCCACCCTTGGCTAGGAAGGCTCATCCAAAAGAAAAATGTAACGAGAGACTGCTCAAGTGCACCACCCACTGGCAAAGGCTATACTGCACCCAGAACACACATACCCAACAATTCCCTCCTTTCCTCAGAGCCCAGACACTCCCCTTCAGAAGTTAGGGAAGCCAAGGATAGAGAGGGAGAGAGAGAAAAAAGGAGGGGCAGAGGAAGGAACATAGGAAGAGAGACAAAAAGAGAAAAGGAAAGAAAAGAAAAATGAAAACTAAAGAAAACAGAAAAGGGCTGAAAGAAAAAGAGGGAAAAGAAAGATAAAGGAAGGGAGGGAGAAAAAGAAAGAAAGAAAGAAAGAAAGAAAGAAAGAAAGAAGAAAGAAGAAAGAAAGAAAGAAAGAAAGAAAGAAAGAAAGAAAGAAAGAAAGAAAGAAAGAAATAAGGAAGAAAAAAGGGTAAAAAAGAAGGAATGAGAGAGGGAAGGAAGGAAAGGAGGAAAGGAAAGGAGAGAGGGAAAGAGGGAAAGAGAGACAGAAGGAAGGAGAGACGGAAAGAAGAAAGTATGGAAGGAAGGAGGAGAAATTAAAATCTAAATTCCAAGAAGTAAGAAATTGGCCACACCAATGGTTGTGGCATGCTATGTTCCAATCTAAGAAATGGCCAAACATATAGGCTTAGAGAGACTAGGAATGAATCAGGAACAGAGGCCAGGACAAAGAAAGATAACACATGCAAGGCTTACACTTCCCCTAGTGAGGCCCACGAAGAGATGCCATCGGACTCAAGAGCAGGGATTAGAGGGACCTCCAAATCTGACCCCCTCATTTTCCAGAAGAGGAAAGTGATGGCCATGGAGGGGCAGTGCCCCCCACCCCCCACTATCTCACAGAGAGTGAGTAGCCAAAGTGGAGATCAAACTCAGATCCCCTGACTCCAGAGCCCACACTCTCCTCACTGAGTCCTCATTTTCTAAAAAAGCCAACAAAGTTCAGAGGCTGATGGTGATTTGAAATAACATCATACAGAGAAAACAGCACTGGATTTGGAATGAAAACCCCACCCCTGTCACTTACAACTCATTTACCCGCCTTGGGCCTCAGTTTCCTCCTTCATAAAATAAGAGAGTGGGACTCAGGGGCCTCCCTTCTAGCTGCTGTATGACCTTGGTAAAGTCCTTTCCCTTCCCTGAGCCTTCGTTTCTCCTGGATTAAATGGTCTCTGAAGTTCCTCCAGCTCAAGACCTAGGGGCCTGTATGCAACCCTAGGAGAGTTACCTTCCCTGCCTGGGTCTCTGTGTCTTCCTTTTTAAAATAACTGGACAACCTCCTGACAAAGGGGTGATTTGTTTTGTTTAACTATACATACAAGTTTCAAGAATTTTCTTTTTCTTTTCTACAATAGAGGTGGACAGTAGATAAAAGGGAGAGAAAATAGATTGTGTTAATTGAAAAGAAATAATTTAACTCAATAAGTAAAACCAGGTAGGACGAGATGGCCACTGAGGTCCCTTCCAGCTCTAAATCTACAATCCTATTATCCCATGATGCCTCTGGCAAGTCACATGTCTGAGAGCAGCACTATTCTATAAGCAGCTACAGCAAAGCATGGGTGTGTGTACGGGTGTGTGTGTGTGTGTGTGTGTGTGTGTGTGTGTGGGTGCATGCATGCACACACATGTGCATGCATGTACATGTGTATGAAAAGGCTGGCTCCAAAGCTTCAGAGAATGGAGCTCTTCTCCCAGGCCAACCCAGCAGCAACCATCTCTGAATAATGTCCTTCCTTTCTCTCCACCTTGCTGTGAAGAGCCCTAAGACTGTGAAAATCCACAGCTGCCCACCTCCCCTGCCCCTGCCAGCCCACAGGGCCCACAGGCCTCTGCCCACTGCCCGGAGTGGGAGCCAGGGCCTTGGTGGCCAGCTTTCCCATCCATGAGGCTATCTGGATTCTTCAGTTCCCCAGGCCAGCACAGTCTGAACACATCAGCCACGCCAAATAATAATCCACAAACAGTCACTTACTGTTCCCAAGCAAAGGAAAAGAAACCTGTGAAATTATAGGCCATTGAAAATTTTGGAAAATCTTCCAAAGAGTACACATACATGCATACATACATATATATATGTATGTGTGTATATGTATACTTGTCTACACACCCACAAATACAGACATACACATATATACACGTGTACATACATATACACAGACACAATATACATATACAGGCACATATATATGTATATACATATACAGACACATACACACACACACATACACACACACACACACACACACACACAAATCATCCTATTAGTTAAATGTGATACTAATCCTTCTGAGCTCAGGGCTTGTTTAGAATGAAAACTCAGACAAAAGCCAAACTGGGACGGCCCATATCCTGATGGAGGGCAGCTGATGCTGATTGCTAAAACGAAGGGCTATTGTTTCTTACTCACCTGGATAAGTGGAGGTACATGGGCTCCGGAGGCTTGGGGAGAAGACAGGGAGCCGGGCGTTCTCCCGCCAGGAGCAGAGGTGCGTGAGAGCCACCAGCTCCATCACCCCTCACTTCCCTGAGGTTCTCCAGTTCGGTTCTAGCCTGCATAGGAATGGACTTCGGTGGAGCAGTAAGTACCTGGCAAAGAGAGACAAGGGTTAGAAAGACCCAGTTTCCAAGAGGAACCCTCAAAGAAGCTGCTGTGGGCTGAGGGTAAAAGATGAGTTAGCCAAATCACAACAAACTCATTCCCATACAAGATAAACAGAGCACAGTGAGATACGCTGGGACACTGACCCCAGGCAAGCCCAGTCATCGCCCTTATCAGCTGGCCACCAAGAGCCAACCTCCCCCTCATTTGGTTATTGGCTCCCAAAGCTCTCCCACCCAGAAAGCGGACCCAGAACTCTTAATCATTGTCCAGTTCTGCTACAGTAGGAAGGCAGGGCTTCCAGTCCTCTGGGATCCAGAGTGAGGGTTCATTTGGAGGAAAAGATTGTAGACAAAGTTTTTTATGTTGCTTTCACAGAAACATATGCAAGGTACAAACTCATGGCAATTTTTGTGAACACACATACCCAAAGACAAAGCATCTGCGTTGATGGGGTGGGGGAGGGGGGACTTGTGGGAGGGATGCCTTGACTTTCCCACAGGATTAGAGATCTAGAGCTTGAAAGATGAAAACAAAGGTAAACAAATAGAAAACAACCTGGGGGAAGACAAGGTAACCCTAAGGAAATACCCAATCTGTGGTCCAGTCCTTCAAGCCAAGACAGTGGAGTTGAACATCTAATGCACTATTTACCGGTATGACAATTAGCATGATCTTAGATGAGCGATTAATTAGAAAAGAAGGAAGTTGCCCCCTGACCTTTCCTCCAAATCTGACCTTCCCTCCAAATCTGACCTTCCTTGATGGAGCAAACAGAAGATGAACTCAGCACGTAATGAGCAGATCTCTTTGGGAACAAGCGTGGAGGGAAGAATGTACAGAATGAGAAAGTTGGGTAAAGAAAGTGCATGGCACCAGGGTGGATGAAGAGAAGAGAACGTCCTGGAAAGAGCAGCCAACTTTGCTGTACCCTAGGAGTATCCTGGCTCTATTGCTGTAGGGGACCTCAGAAGTCAAGTTTGACCCAAGAGAAGCCCAGAGGGATTAAGTCATAGATATTTCTCTCAAAAGATTCGCAATTAGAAGGGACCTTAAGAGGCCATTTAGTCCAACGTCTGCCATTTTACAGAGGAGGAAACTGAGGCCTAGAGAGCTTAGGTGACTTGCCCACAGTGGAACAGCTCTTAAGTATCTAAGGCAAGATTCAAACTCAGATCTTTGCTGACTCTGAGTCTGTTACAATTAGTCTCAAAGAAATTGAAACCCAGAGATGGGAAATGCCTTGCCCAAGGTCACTCAGGCAGTAAGTGCCACAGCTGGCATTCAAACCTAGGTTTTCTGAGCCCAAATCCAGTATGTTATCCACTGTGCCACTGTCCTCTTCTCTCAAGTCCTTTGTCCCTTTATTCTACCGCCAATCTTGCCCTGCCAGGCCCAAGTCCTGGATCACTCCCACCATCCACTGTCTTCACTCTTACTCACGTGCTGCTAAATAAAGCTGGGGGGGAAAATCCACCAAACCACGATGGCTGGATTCACCACAAAGTTATGCTATGTGATGTTGTCTGGGCCCTCACTGCTGCCAGGCAATCCATCTCTACCTGCCTTATCAATTTCCTATCTCACTTCCCAAAGCAGCTCTTCCAAACCTTTTCTAACTTCCCAAGGCTTTCCCTCCCCTCACCCTCTCAGGTAAGAACTCTGCCTCATATTTTACAGAAAAATATTGAGGCCATTTGCTGTGAGCTCCCATCATCCAGATACCTCCTACCATTACGTCCACCTTCACAAGTGATCTCATTCCATTTAGTCTCCCCTAGCAGACTGCCCCTCCCTCCCTAGCACTTAACTCTATCACTTAACTTCCACCTTTCCCTGTCTATTGGCTGCTTCCCTACTTCCTACAAATATGCCCATGACCTTCCCCATCCTCAAAAACTCTCACTTGGGACCCACATGTACAAAAATATTTATAGCAGCTCTTTCTGAGGTGGCAAAGAATTGGACGTTTAGGGGATGCCCATAAATTGGGGAATGTAATGGAATACTGCTGTTCTGTAAGAAATGGTGAGCAGGTAGATTTCAGAAAAACTTGGAAAGACTTGTATGGACTGAGTGAAGTGAGCAGAACCAGGAGAACACTGTACACAGTAACAGCCACACTGTGTGATGACCAACCATGATAGACTTAGCACTTCTCAGAAACACAATGATACCTTCTTCTTTACTCCTCTGATACTGTGGAGGGCACCACCATCCTCCAAGTCACCCAGGCTTGAAGACCCAAGATAATTCCAAAAGATTCATGATGGAAAATGCTATCCATATCCAGGGAAAGAACTGTCTGAATGCAGATTGAAGCATACTATTTTTACTTTTTTTTTGTTTTTTTTTTCTTTCTTGTGGTTTTTCCCTTTTGTTCTGATTCTTCTTTCACAACGTGACTCATGTGGAAATATGTTTAACATGACTGCACATGTATAACCTATATCAGATTCCTTGCTGTCTTAGGGAGGGGAGAGGAAAGGAAGAAAAACTTAGAACTCAAAAATCTTATAAAAATGAATGTTGAAAACTATCTTTATATGTAATTGGAAAAAAATACTATTAAGTGGGTGGGGGGGACCCTTACTTGCTCCTTTCAGCCCCACTAGATGTGACGCTATAGCTTTCCTCCTTTTTGCAACTAAGCTCCTACAATTGATGCCTCCATTTCCCTTCCTCTCTCTCACTCTCTTCTCTCTACAGGCTGGCTTCCAACCTCATTATTTGCCTGAAACTGCTGTCTTCAAAGAGATCAATGATCACTTTGGTATCTAAGAAGGCCTTTTCTTAGTCCTCAACCTTCTTAACCTGAGAGTGCCTGATATGGTCAATCGCCCTCCCCTCTTTGATCCTCTCTTCTTTCTAGGTTTGTGGAACATCCCTCTCTCCTGGTTCTCCCTCTACCTATCTGACTGCTCCTTCTCAGTCTCTTTTGTTGGATCTTCATCCAAGTCATGCCCACTAACCCTGGGTAGCCCCAGGGCTCTGTTCTGGGTCTTCTTCTCTTCTCCTCTATACTATTTCTCACGGTCATCACACCATCTCCCATAGATCCATTTATCACCTCTAAGCTGACCATTATCAGATCTACCGATCTAGCCCAACCTCTCTGCTCACCTCTAGTCTTGCCTCCTGGACATCTTCAACTCAACAAACCCAAAACTGAGCTCAGTATCTTTCTCTCTGCCAAACTCACCCCTCTTCTTCACTCCCCTGTTACTGTGGAGGGTACCACCATCTTCCAAGTCACCCAGGCTTGAAACTTAGGTGGCATCCTTGATTCCTCACTCTTTCACCACCCCACCCTTATGGCCAATCAGTTGCCAGGGCCTGTTGATTTTTTGTAACATCTCTTGTATACTTCTCCTTCTCGCCTCTGATATTGCTGCCACCCTGCTGTAGGCCCTCATCACCTCACTCCCAGGTTATTACAATAGCTACTGGTTGGTATCCCTGCTTCCAATCCATCCTCTGTTCAGCTGTCAAGGTGATCCTTGTAAAGCACAGGTCTGACCACGTCATTCTCCTCTAAACTCCAGTGGCTCCCTATCCCCTCCAAGATCAAATATAAAATCTCTGTTGGTCATTGAAAGCCCTCAATGTCCCCCGTCACCTTTCCAGTTTTCTTACACCTTCACCACCTCTCCCCTGCTGCACCACACACTCAGCCTCCTTGTGGTTCCTCACACAAGACAAGACACCCCATCTCCTGATTCTGGGCATTTTCTCTGGCTGGCCCCCCATGTCTGCATTTCTCTTTTCTCATCTCTCCTTCTTGACTTCCCTGGATTCCTTCAAGTCTCAGCTAAAATCCCACCTCTTGCAAGAAGCCACGTCAATCCCCTGAAAGCTAGTGCCTACTCTCTGTCAATCATCTCTAACTCATCTTGTCTATGGTTTGCTTGTACGTATCAGTCTGCAGGCTGAGTCCCTCATTAGATCGTGAGACCCTTGAGGGCAGGCACTGTCTCTGACCACAGGGCCTGGCACACAGTAGGCACTTAATAAATGTTTATTGACTGACTGACCACTCTCCCTCTCTTGGAGAAGCACGTCCCTGCGTTCCATCATAGTGAATATGATGTTCCCATTTCTCCATAATCAGTATTTGATTCTTATGGGGGGTTTTCCTGATATTTATTTGATGCCCTGAACAGAGGCCCTTGGCAGCAGAATATCCAAGTAGAACCGAACACTTCCTCTTTCAAGTAGGGTCAGCAAAGGCCATTTGTCATGGCTTCCATTTCCCCAAAGGACTAGTAGTGTTCAGGAGTGAGTAGTAACACTTTGAAGCAATGGACTAGTGGGGAAGTATGTGTAAATGTGCATGCTGTGCTGACAATTTTTTCAAAATTTCAAATGCCTGTAATTTACTAGACTTATTTTCCTTTGCTTGGGAACACTAAGTGACTATTTGATGATGATTATTTGGCATTCAGAGTGTGCTGGCCTGGGGAGATGAAGAATAGCAATGGAATCGTAGAGGGGAAAACGCTGTGGACAATGGGCAGGGGCTAGGATTATACTGAGGCACGTAGGCTCTGCTCCTGAGGCCGTGTGGGAGGCGAAGGACCTCAGGCTCCCATGGAGTCCAGCTACTTGTTTACTGTTTCCTGCTATGGATCATTCATGTTGTTCTGCTCTGGATTTTTCCCTTATTTTTAAGAACTTCATTAGTCCCATCTTATTATTCTTTAGAGTAAGAAATAAGAGAAAGGAAGGAAGTCACCAGTGGAGAAAGCTTTGCTTTGGAAGATGCAGCCCTTGGGTTCGACTCCTGTCTCTCATACTTATAACACGGAAGGGGCAAGTGGCAAGTCCCTTCCCCTCGCTGGGCCTCAGTTTCCACCTCAGTTTCCTCCTCCATAAAATGAGGGGGTTGAAGTAGATGGTCTCTGAAGGTCCCTTTCATCTCAAGATATAGGAGCCTAAGATCTTCCTCCAGAAAGAAGAGATCAGGATCTACATCAACAGTGGTAAT